TTTCATAATAGCCGCAAAGAAGTATTTCTCTTCAAGGAGATTATCTCTATGCAAAACGATCACGTGGTACTCGAGTCTCGAGGTAGATAAACTGGCATCGACCTTTCGCTTTCGCACCGAGGTAAAAAGATCGACCGATAGCTATACCGATTCAGGGGGTGTCTCGTCACCTTCGTATTCAAACTGACCTCTCTATACGTTTCGTCAAAATCGCCGCTCAGTCCCTGGGAGGACTGAGAACAGGTGACAGGTTCGATCCTTTCGCGAATTCGGGTCGGAGGCCGCACACATAAATTTCGTAGATCACACACGTTTCCAGATCTTGTACGGAATCGGTAAAATTCAATACTTTTTCTCGAATGATTTCAATCGAAGCTTTCGCAAAGATCGCAGGCGACAATTACTGGCCTGTGGGAGAACGAACGTCAGTCTCGAAATGAGGTTATAATCCCCCCCCCCGCGAGTCCCTCGAGATTTCGGATTCTTGCATCTTATCGATCTCGCTCGTAGCTACTGTGCGCGAGACGAATCGCGTTTTGACAGCAGAAGAATCGATTGTCGAATTTTGGTCGTCCGATCGAATTGCACAAGGTAGATCGTAGACCTCCGAAAATCCGTCCGGATTCGTAAACAATACGAGGTATCACGATCAAAATTCGATACGCGTTTGCGTTCTCCGTCTGTCATTTTCATATAAATCGCAATGGAATGAGAAAAATGAAAAGAGAATGATTTGTCGAAAATACGATCCATCATAGGAGCGACTCGTCGAAGCCTCTGTTATCAGCTGACAGCGGTTTGCACTTTGCACCGCTTTTTATCGCGTAATCGCGTTTTTTCACACAACTACAATACTCACCGTACGAATAATACGTGTCTTCCAGGTCTATATAGTCAGTCGACGACAGGCGGCGATTAATAACGAAAAAAATGTCGCTCTCCAAGCCGACAAATATTTTGTACAATCTCGTCGGCGCGTATCTACAGCGACTCTACACCAGTCCCTTGAGAACAAAAGCCATAACGAGGTAAC